GAGATGCATAGGTAGATCATAGTACTTACAGATGGCTGGAGATACTGCTTGACCCTAGGGGATAACTGCTTGACACTAGGACAATGGAATCCTTTGAAGGGGGCCAAAATTTACTCCTCTAAAACTTGATTGTCTCTCTGTAATGCTTAAAGATAGCCTTAAAAGATACAATGTCCCCAGAGGATGAATTAATTTGGCTCCTAACTCTCCCTCCCCATAGTTTCCAATATAGGATAGGCTGAAGATGGAAAGAAACTTAAAGGGGGATATCAGGAGTGCTGTTAATGTTGTTAAAAAAGTCTAATAAACTCTTTGGAGTGGAAGTTATTTTTTTCCTTTTTCTACTATTGCTTACTTCTCTAAAAACAAAACAAAAATCCTCAGCAAGATGCTACCGGATTAAATTGCTGATCTCTCGGTAATAAGGAAGACCAACATTAAGATTTTCTATGCTGGCTTAATTGTACATTCTTGTGCATATTCATTATGATAGCATTATTCCTTATGTAACTAAAAGCTATGTTTTGTACACAGATCTTCCCCTTTTTCTTTTAGAGAGTAGGAGAGCATTACTTAAGGACTCAGAAGCATGTCCACAGAGAGTTTCTTTCCCTGTGTAATGAAGCTGTGAACTGATGAACAATGAAGCAGTACTGCAGAGATCTGGGATACAAAACCTCTCCTGTCCTTGCCACAGATTCCTACTACTGTCTGAAGTGAATCACTAATAATCTTCCCAAGGGTTGTTTGTGGTGTTATTACTTCTTGTCCTGTTTGGAGCACAGGGAAGATAAGTTGCTCAAGAGAGTTCAACACCTTTATCCCCATCTCCATCCAGAGCCTGGATGATGCACAGTGGGCAAGACATGCAAACACAATATGTAGCCAAAAAAGGAAAAAAGGTTGAACGTTCATCCCATGTCATGTTTGTCATCACTGAACACTGAATAAGGCAGGCGCTAAAGATAAACAGTATCCACTAATGTCATAAAACATTTTGTCAAAATGCAGACACAAAAGTTGCTGAATTAGCACTGGCTTTTCATAGCTTTGTCATCTGTGGAGTTGCAGCAAAGCTCTTTGAACACAGAAAATTCTGTGGAGTGCTGTGTCAAATTGCTCCTGTCACTAAAAGCAGCTTCAGTTTGCATGTGTTGTGCAAAGTGCCTGAAACTAGCTGCAAAACAACGGTGGAAAATCCTGTCTCTAAATGGGCAATTTCTGCCTGTGAAACAATAACATAAGTTTCTATGCCTTCCAGTAACAATTTCCATGCTCCTTTTTCCTTTCTAAAGACCACCATCCACCAAAGTGGAAGAAGGCTGAGGAACACACACTAGTGAGAGAGCAACTTTTGTTTTGTAAGTGAACATGCACTTTTTAATTCACAACATATTCTTGCTGTGGAAAGGTAAAGACGAATCAACCAAAGCTGACTTTCTGATATTTCTGCCCAGGCTCATCAAAGAGTCTATCTTATCTTGTACCTTAAAGTTTGTGTGTTTGTATTTTTTTTCCAGTGTATGCAGCAAGAAAGAACAACTCGTGTTCTTCAATTCCCCATTTTGATCCTCATTTAATGCAGTGTGCTCAGCAGCTCCATTTCTTGCAAAAAAAAAAAAAATCAGCCAAAGAAACAATTTATTTGCTTTTCAGTGCAATAACACATTGTTCATTTAGATTTTTACGAAATTGTTCTATGTAAAAATGCAGGCAATGTTCTCAGAAAGTAGGAGCTAACCAAGACACTTAACTGCTGTAACATTTTAGAAACATTTCAATATAAACATACTTTTCTGGCAAACCAGTGCCGTATTCACATTCCCCCTTTGACTGTAGAACTGAACTTTCTTTTTTTCTTGATACGTATTTACATAAAAGACATTCTCGTTGAGCAGAATGAGCCAAGTCCTAGTAGCTTTGCATCTTTCTCGTTACTTTCTACACCCATCTAGTGGACACAACCAGTACCACAGGATAAATTTCCTGTCACGACCCCGATGTGCTTGTCTTGCACATACCTGTAGTTATTTGTTGGTACAAACCACAGGGACTCTCCTAGCTGATGAAACTGCAGTTTCAGCTAATAGACTTTCAATTAAAAAAAAAAATCAATGATTATTTTATAATCTGACGGTGATAGCATTCATAGAAACCTTAAGTTCTGACTGGGAGAAATAACACTGATCATAAGATATTCATATCATGTCCACAACGGGTGGGTGAAAAAAAATAAACAAATCTGAAAAAAAAAAAAAACAAACCATGTATTTCTTTAATCCAATAAAATACCTTATGATCAGATGAATAATTAAGTCTAATTTAAATGAAATCATTAGTTACTGCTTATTCAAAATTTTCCTGTTGTACTACAGACTTACATTTACCTTAATTTATTTATCTTCCACTTTTAATTTTTGCTTTAGACGTTTCAGAGTACTTTACATATGTCTGAAATGATACTGGCATTGCAGAAGTTAGTCTTATTGAGCACAGGACTAAACAATCCTCTTCTGTTTTACCTAAAATTGCATGAAAGACCTGCATTCAATAGAAAAACAAAACATACAAACTGTGTATTGTTTAGGAGTCTGAATAGTCTCACAACTGTTTAAAGAAAAAAGAAATAATTAGGCAATGAAATAGGAGTGTCAGGAAAATTTGATAAAGTGAGCTCACAGATGTTGCAAACCCTTCATTGATACTGTGAGTATTTTGTGTTCCTGAACGGTCAGGCATTCAAAGTCAAAAGATACTGATTGCTAATGAATAATAGTAGTCATGCTAGTAGTAATGGCAATATGGTTATTAAAAGCAGAAGCTGCAAGGATGTTTTAGTAGTATCCATGGTATCATGCCATTTCCAGTATGTTTTCTTTCTTTTTTCTTTTTTTTTGTTTTTGTGAGCGGATCTCACAATGATCACAAAGATGCAATAGTAATTAGGGAAAATGTTTTCCAAGAGCACCCCACAGGCTGTGGCAGAACTCTCATTCGATGTCTTATGGGTTAGCTTTGGTAGTTTAAGATAGATCATGTTATGTAGTAGCACATTTGAGGACACAGAAAAAATATTTAGACATAATCAAAAGAAATCAAACTTGGGAAGAAGTGTATGTGTTAGGATTTGCTGACAGTGAATTTTTCTGGAAACAACAGTGAAAATAGGATTAAACTTCTAAGCTTGGTTGATTTCTTTCTAATTCCATTTTCTAAGCAGTTAAAATTTTGCTTTTCTACATTCAGACTGTGAAAAGTGAATACACAATAAATTATGTCATCCGAGAGCAGCAGAAAGATTGCAGTTTGAGGAATATGTGCAAAGTGACAATGAAACAATGGAATAAAACATGAAACCAAGGTCCATTCTGTGCCAGGCAACGTACATCTCTGTCAAAATAAGCAATAAGTGTTTCTTTGATTGGTTCATTTAACAAAGGAAAAAAGGCCATTGGAATGCTACCAGTAAAACATAAAGCTTCAACCTCACTGCAACCTTGGGTCACTAATAGATAACAGAAAGAAACAAGCTGGTGTGGAAAGCAGCATGTACCTGCTGTGACTCCTGCACTAGTCTGAAGTCTAATCAACAGCTGACAAATATTGAATATTTTCTCTTCTGCTGTCATTAGATAGAACTGAAAACTGGTGGATGTCCTTCACAAAAATACTGGTTTCAAAATGAGTACTTTAGATGCGTTCAATGTATGCATACTGTGATGCTAACACTGATCCATGTTTAAAAAATAGTGTGAAAGATGCTCTATTTATTCCTCATTCCTAAATGCTGTAGCAGTATTATTTAAGTTCCCATTAGTATGGCAAACAAGCCCAAGTAGTTAGAAGCCAAGGTCTCATGCCCATCTTTCCTACTGTGCTGTAAAGCTAAACTGATCTTTGGTTTTAGAGAGACACAACCAACTAGGGAAACAGAAATAATCTGCTTCTGCCTGGATAAAATGTGCTCCATCCCACCAGATGGAGACATAACCTTGCTAATCCACACATCTGTAACCTCTGGGATTGCATACCACAACACATGAAGTCTAAAAACGGAGCCACATGCTCCAAAAAGACTCCATATGGTACCAAATGCAGCTGTCGGGCTGCTAGGCAACATGGATTGCCATGAGCACGTCCTCTCAGCACAGCCAACCCTAAGATAGTTTCTAATTGATTGCAAACTCCCATTCAAGGTCTTTACACTGATTTTAAAAAGCCCTTTGTGGAAACATTACAGACTACATGAAAGAGCATCTTCTCTCTCCTTCTCTCTCTCCCCTTGCCCTTCAGCCTCTCATGACGGCGGTGTTCCCTCAGAATGATAAGCCTGTTTACCTCTCTTAATACCAAACACAATAACTAGAAGTGTTGGATCTAAACTGCCTAATTCAAAGGCATGAATGGGCACAGGAGTTGTGCTGCTTGGCAGTGAGCAAAGAATTCTTTTCTTCTATATGTTTGTAAAATAGCAACTGTAATACATGCAGACATGCTTAAGCACACACATACATCTTAATCCCACCCCAGAGTTTCATTTATTGAGATAAGACAAAATATATTCTTGAAATATTTGGGTAGTAATGAAATGTTAGGGTCAGGTACTCAATAACAAGAGAGCCGTTAATTGCCTCAACAGTGGGAGACAGGATAAGGAGGGTCCAGCTCAAGAGACTTGGGGCCCAAGGAGGAAAACAACGAAACTTCATATTCCTTCAAGTGCAGAGCTCACAGATCTCTGCATGCAGAGATCCATAATGTTTCCTGTACTCCTAATAGTGATTTTTCTCTACAAAATTTATTTTCCTTCAGAGTTCTTCTTTTTTTGTGGTCAGCAATTTTAAAGTGTATTTTTGTTTAGCAGTGGACTTGACCAGGTCTTTATTTACAAATTTTTATCAAGAAGCAATTACCTAATGATAAATTTGTCAGAAAAGTTTTTATTACTTTCAAAATTCTTATGTCAATGGCATAAATCTTTTTATTCTTTCTTTTTGCAGTTTTGATGTAGACAATGGTACGTCATCGGGACGAAGTCCCTTGGATCCCATGACAAGCCCTGGATCAGGGCTAATTCTTCAGGCAAATTTTGTCCATAGTCAACGCAGGGAGTCTTTCCTTTACCGGTCAGACAGTGACTATGACCTGTCTCCAAAGTCCATGTCCAGGAACTCCTCCATTGCCAGTGATATGTAAGTACATAAAATACTTTTAGCCTATGTTTTGTCCTGTCATGTGATTTTTCCAGCCACCAGAAATTTCCTTTAAAAATCAAAGACAGTAATCACTTATGCTATTGAAGTAATGGATAATTGCTTGTTTATTTCTTTACTGAAGCTTGTACTTGGTTTTGCAGTTTTCTGAAACTAAGGATATCATGAGGGTGTACTTGGTGTGTTTACGCACTTTATTAGCTTTGACAGAATAGTGAAAACAGTTAATACTATTGTGTCCAAACACTAAGGAGGGCTCTGATTTCCTGGCTAGTAAGTTCTTTTCAAGAGAAGTGATATAAACTCAATTTCTGCTTCTTAATGTTCTTAGAAACAATTCCATTTATTTTCACCAGGTATTTTTATGTTTTTGGAGAAAAGATTTACCAGATGGCAGAAATTAAAAAATCCGAGAGAAGCAAAGGTTACTTCAGATACCCTTTTAAGTAAAAGGCAAAATTTTAACAAAAGGCTTTTGGAAAGTTATTCTTTCTGACTGTTCTTCTCTGTTGTGTGTATTTTCTGCTGGTGGATCGTATTTTTCAAGTATGTGTGTACCCCAAGTTGCATGGGTAGTGGAAGTCAATTGCAAATCTCTGTTTTTTTGTAAGACATGGAAAACATGTTAGATAATAGCTTCTAGACGCTTCTAAGTAGTAGAAATTAAGAATAACAGATTTGGTTTTTGTTTGCCTTATCTGCTCCAAATTTCACTGCCAAGTAGGAATTTATGGTTCAATTACAAATCACTAAAATAAAGGACCAGGCTTGTAAGAGTCCCCAAGGGGCAAGGAGGTCTAAAATGTTAAAAAAATTCAGTATTAAGTTAAAAGCTGATTTTTTAATGAGGCAACACCCAATCAATATGCTCTGTAAAAAATAAGAGTACAAACAGCAAAGGAAAAAGTTTTTCATTATAATGAGTGAAATTTCACCTGATATTTAATTTGTAGTCATTATATATGAACACTCCTATTTTCAGCTTACATATAAGTTTTAGAAATGTTGATAAGAACATCTAATTATAGCTCTCTTTCTGTGTAAGTGTCGAGAAAGATTCATGCCTTTACAGAGGGTTTGTGTAAGGACCATACCTCAGTTAAGCATGTAGACTGAAGAACTTTTTAAGCTTTGTGCACAGTGTGACTGATTTTGGATGAGACAAAATGAGGAAGAAAATGGCCAATCTATCTTGCTTTGCCGTAAATAAAAATGCATTTTACGTGGAAATAGTGACCCCCTCCCAGAAAATTCTCCACTGACAAATAGCCTTTCTTTTAGAAGGACCACAGTGAAGCTTTTAGTGCGGCACCTGTGCCAGGATACCATTTGGAAAAATTTTTACCTTCAGGGGGACAATCCAGGTCATTGTGCTGCTTAGATGAGTCATTTCAATTAAGAATTCAATTAGTGCTCCATCCTTGAACTCATAATCCACTTCTGCATTTCCTAGAATTCTGGGTAATATTTCAGCACATGGCAGTAAATTGAATAAACAATTGAATTACTGAAACACTAAGCATACTTCTTCCTTTGGATATTTGTATCTATTCTTCCTTTCAGTTTTTTCTTAAAACACATCTGTGTATAACATTCTTTTCCTTATGTCTGGATAAGTATTCACAGTCTCCTGTCACAAAGGAGCTGTTGTTCTAAGAAGGTAAAGTATTCCTCCTATTGCTTAGGATGGGAGCACATTAGGAAATGTAAGAGGCAAGTTGTTTTAACAATGGAATATTAATCATATATCAGTAAGCCTAATTATAATAAGCCTCATTATCTCACAGAAATGAAGTAAAAGAAAACCAAGGAATGAAAGAGGGAAAAGTAGCTAGGAAAAAAAAAAAAAAAAAAAGAAGTTTTTTTAAGAGGAGAAACTGGATATGCTCATAGAAAGGAAACCCACTGAAAATTATTAAAATAGAGAAGCCACTCTGGTTCAGGACATTCCTAAATGACACAGAGGCTGGAAGTTATCAGGGCAAGTATCACACAAATTTTAGATTACTCACAAATTATTCTATTTCTCTATAGCATATTCCCTACATGGTTAATTTTCAGTATTGCATGTTGGTTGAGCATGAGCTACAAAATATTACAAAACATACACATCATCCAGGTAATGCAGGTGAGTTAATATTACACAACAGTCTAACCTAGAATGCCCTCATTCTTCAGTGCTTGAGTTACCAACCTCTATATTTCACTTTGTAAAGCAAAACAGAAAGCAGAAGGCATGCATCTTGTATTTGTAAGGAGTAGAACATGATGATTTCTGGCATTTACAGTAATACATTCCACTTCAGTAGCAGCAGATGAAACAAAACTTGTAGTCAAATGCGGAATGTTGTGATAAAAGACAGCCAGCAGATGGCAGTGCTAAAGTACCAAAGTCATCATTGTGTCATTTATTTGCGCAGTTCCAGCCAAGGAAGCGAGCGCGGTCGTGCTCAATTCTTTGCGAACCCAAGACGAAAAGATGGACTCTGCCACAAACAACAAGATGAAGCATAAGATAATAACCAAGAAACTAATACAGTTAGATACTATCCCCAGGCAAAGGGACAGCATGAGTCCCTGTGCCCAAAGTAGTAAACCTCACAGAGCAACCAAAGGGATTTTCATTCAGTGAGCTGAAAGTGAGGAAAGTGAGGAAAGTAGCATTCAGTGGGGAAAGTGGCAGAAACAAAGGCAGAGAAGAGGGAGGTCGAAAGTTTTTAAAATCAGAGATACTAAGTATATTTTAAAGTGAGGAGCCAGATTAGCTATTGGAAAGAATAAAAGGATGAGCGCAAGGCCACTGACATGAGAGGAGGTTAGTTGGACAAATGTGGGTGCAGTTATGGCATTAGAAGAGGCAGAAGCAGACATATAGTAAGAAAAGAAAAACAAATTAAGGAGTGGGATCAATAGCTTTATTATTATTATTATTATTATTATTATTATTTCTTGGAAACAATAGTACAGTCCTAGTGGAAAAAAAGCAGGACGTGGAGATGATATGAGGAGTTTCAAGGCTGTGAACCAGAGAGGCAGGTGGTTTAGACAGTAAGATGCAAGGTCCAAGGCAGGAGGGCACAGATGTGTGCGAAGCATGACAATGGGTTTCCAGCAGAGAGATGACGATGTGCAAGAGAAAAAGAAGTGAATGAGTGATACACTGGGGATGAGTAAGCCCCTATAAGGAATTACAGGGCAGGATCTGTGATGAGAGACAGGAAAATAAGTTTAAAGGGAAGGAGAATAAAGAATAGAAACTTTGAAGTCCCCAACAGCACTGTTGCAACAAAGGGAACAAACTAGCTGAAAGATGAGCAAAATCATCAGCGCTGTGTTGGAAGAATTGTCAGGTCTACATTTGAAGACATCAGTAAAGCAGGGAACTTTGCAGATGTCTTGCAGAGGAGGCCTGATTACATAATACTCACCTGCTTGAAGTCCTGTTGCTTCTCAGAACTTGCAAATGCAGACAGAAGCTGAAGTAGTAACACTTTTTATGCCTTTCTTGCTAAGGGATCTCTGCCCTGATTAATGGAGCAGGAGATTGAATTAGCAGAGAATCTCTGTTTTAGCAAAACCCAGGTCTCTAACCAGGTTAAGAATGGATTCTTCAATGAGACCATTAGCAATCTCATGAACACTAGAAGGAAGCCAATAAGCATTTCACTACCTGGGGCATGTTTTAACTGCCACTATAAAGGGAGAAAACCATGTTAGTCCCCCCTGTGATCCTGACGAAGCAGACAAGAGTGTAGCAGACCAGACCAGAGGACCAAAACAATCCAGTTACAGCAGTCTGTCTGAGCTCCACTAGGTCTTCTGAATGTACATAAGGAAAAAAGGTTTGGGAAGTCTACGCTTTCCCCATTTCTACTAGGCCACAGAACACAGCTCAGATGTAACATCCTGGTCTTTCTAGGATTTGGCCAACTGTACCTCACTCAGTAGGTGGTGTGGGAAGTCTTACGGGCTTCAGAGAGGCTCAGCATTGTTTCCTCAGTCAGATGAAATGCCCCTATAAGCTTTAATTAATATAATTACATAAAATCTGGTAATTTCTGTTAGACCTTGCTTCTGTATTTTAAGCACCAGAGCCCACTAGAGAACACTGACTGAAGTGTCATTGTCCTGGTGATCGGCCAAATAGCCGAATGGCCACCAGTACACCCATTCCCCAGACTTGCCAACCTACTGCTGTTCTGCCAATACCTTTTACAGGTAGCAGCATCCGTCTTCTGCTGTCCATGGTAAAAGAAATGTCAGGAGGATGCAATTTACCCTAGGATTTTTCCCCAGTAAATACAGTATTATCCTGCCTTCTCCTAGAGGATGTACTGCTTTGTAGACTGTACCTGAATGTACCTGTAAATTTTGGCTCTACATTAAACAAATAAACAAACAAACAATCATCTCTTTGAATAATAAAACCTAAATGCGGATTATGTTGCAATGAAAAGAGCCTCTGTAGTTTGATAAACATAGATACTGACATACAGAGATTTGGCTGGTTTTGTCAGGATGAATTATCCCCTTCTTCAATTGCTGGAGAAATAATTGTGGGATTTATAATTTGTGTGGTTTTTTTTTTTTTTTTCAAAAGAAAAGGAAATAATCTGTAATTTTGCAAAGAGTAAAGAATAATGGAATTATTCTGGCTGCAAAATTACCTTAAATAAAGGGAAATTCCAAGGTAGAGAGTTCCCTAATTTATCAGTAACTGTCAGGTCTGATACCAACCTGAAGCTACAAGTAGGATGAAATACCCCTTTAGCTGGCATGAGAAAGGGCTGCCAGAGAAGAGAATTTTTGAGGTAAACTAGCTCAAATGTTTCCCAGTTCTCAACGGTCTGCTCAGCTTTTTAAAAATTGCATTCTATTCAATCTGGATCAGATTCATAAGCAAAATGTACTTCAAAATGTACTCCAGGCAAAGAGGGCAAGCCTGGACAGTTAACAGGGTTCACCTGAGCCTTTAATAT